ATATATATATATATATATTTGTTTGCGCTTGAAGCAGGTACAGTATGGTGGATTGGTAATGAGACGTACACCTCGTGCACTACACTCAGCAACCCCATGAATACAAGCACATGTGTACAAAGTTAGTCATACTGTAATTAACAAGTACATAGTTATACTGTAATTACACCTATTGTAGTAAGCACAGTAAGTCAGATACAAGAATTTTATGTGTACAGTATGTATTGGTAATACAGTAAGTATGTTTTCTAACTGTAGAATTTTATGTGTACAGTATGTATTGGTAATACAGTAAGTATGCATGTTTTCTAACTGTAGAAGGTTTTTTTATGGAATTTTCAAATATGAAGTTTTTTTAACATTTATTAGACCAAACCAGGAGCATGCAGTTGCAAAAATTGCAACTCTATAAGGCAGGAATCGAACCTGTGGCTTATAGTTGCATTTTTCGCAACTGCTCCTGGGTAGGCCTAATAAATGTACAATAAACATTCACACTCGTAATATCCATGTACAAAACCCTTCTACAGTTAGTTATGACTAGTGTACATGTACCAGTAGATGCCCAAAGTCCTGGTATTTATTTATTTATTTATTTTTTATTATAAAATACATTATATGGCTTTTCAAAATTCTCTATTCTGATTGGTTGACAAGCGGTCTGTAAAAACCCATATCTGGACCGTGGTCCGTATTTTCCGTATCTGGACCAGTGTCCCGGATGCCGTTTATCTGGCGGGAAATTTTTGCTTTGCAAACAGAAAAAAATTTTGTTTTTTAATTTTCCAATTGTGTATCATTAAAATGTACAGATAAAAATTTCAAACAACCAAATTGTTTTCGATTGAGCATGCATGCCTACCGTATATTGTTTCCCGGTGAAACTGACGATAGCCGATTTAATTCGCGCGAAAAGCATATGCTCACAGACTCAGTTCAGCCATATGATAAACCGATTATTGACCTCGCTTGTTCGGTCTGTACTGTGAAATATCAGACCTCTGTTTTTTGCGTGGACCTCGCTCCTTTGTCGCTCGGTCCATACTAAAAAACCTCGGTCTGATATTTCACAGTACAGACCGAACAAGCGAGGTCAATAAGCCGTTAGTATTCCCTATCCGTGCTTTTCAATACTTATTTACATTTAAAATATTAAAAATTCAATATAAAATTCCATATAAAACATTTAAGCTTTACAACAATGTTAATTGTTTCCTAACATTTTCTTCTTCAACTCAGTTTTGAATGTTTTTAAGGGTAATTTCTTCAAGTCGTTGTCTATGCTATTCCAAATCTTTACAGCTCTATAATGGAAACTCTTTTGTCCTGCCATTGTTTTGTATGGTGGAATATTATTTAGATCTTCCTTATTCCTCGTGTTTAAATCGTGAATCTCGCTGCTTTTAAAGAATAGGTCACTGAGATAAGATGGCGCTAGTTCATGCATACATTTATAAGTCATCAGTGAATCTCTATATTGAAGGTGTTCTCTAACTGGAAGCCAATTAATCGCCCGGAGTGCAGGTGTGATATGATCATATTTTCTTGTATTGGTTACAATCCTACGGCTACAGGCGAAATTTTGAACTGCTTTTAGTTTCTTGATGTTTGTGGTAGATGTATTTGCCCAAACCGTGGAGCAATAGTACAGTTTACTCATTAATATGGGACTGATGATTGTGCGGAGGGTGTCACTGTCAAAGCTATCTTTTACTCGATTATTTGGCACAGTTTCGACATAACTGATGATATAACATTCCTGATATGTTTATCATAAGTCAAATGATTATCTAGATTTAACCCGAGGTCTTTTGCGCTTAGAACTGGTGCGATCTCTTTTCCAAGAAATGAAATGGTCATTTCCTTCAGAAGATTACCAAGTAATTGACGAGTGCCTATTAATAAAAACTTTGTTTTCTCTGGATTGATTATAGCAGTTTGTTTCGGAAGCACCAAGTTGCTACTAGTTTAAGGTCGTTGTCTACAGTATGTTGCTCTTGCCAGTAGAGGCATCTTTAATTGCAAACGACATGAATAATTTGGAATCGTCCACGAATTATTCCAAATTGGATATTTGGGGGAGATCATCTGTATAGATGCAAAATAGTAATGGTGACAATAGTGCTCTCTGTGGTACCCCATTGAGAGTGTATCAGATACCGATGAGCCGATACGAACATATTGTTTCCTTCCAGAAAGGTAACTTCTGAACCAGTTGAGTGCTTGACAGGAAACGCCAATGTTGGTTAATTTTTGCAATAATATCGAATGATCGATGCTGTTGAAGGCTCTCGATAAGTCTAAAAGAACAATAGCAGAAAGTTTTTTATTGTCGATTGAGTTAGTAAGAAATCACTAGCCAGAATATTGAGTGTTTCAGTGGAATGGTGCTTTTTGTTTCCGCTTTGATGACGGGAAAGGCGTCCGGTGCGTTTTAAAAAACCGCTAAATTGGTTCAATGCTAAGGACCATTCCATTTAATATCCACACCCCCTCCCCCCCCTACGGATGAGGTCAGTAAAATTTTAACCCCTAAGAAAAAAAGATCAAAGTGCCGACACAAAACACCCCTCAGAAATTTGTAAATTTTCCCCTTACCCCTCAGAAAAATTGCAGAGATCAAAGGATGCCGACAT